CCACAAGAGTGGAGGACTTGATCCTGAGCCTCCGTGGTCCAGCTTCAGCACTCTAACTATACACCACATTCAGGGGTGGGTTTCAACCGGTTCACGGCGGTCCCTGCGAACCGGTTGGTCGCCGAACCCGGAAGTAAGTAACTTCCGGGAACGGCGAAGGGTGCGCCCGCCCGCCCGCCTGCGGTCCTTACCCGGTTTTGATGAGTTCTGCGCTTCCACGCATGCGCAGGACGCATTTAGCATCTGCACGATCGTCCAGGAGCAGCTGGAGCGTCGCGCAGACGCTAGTACGCATGCGTGCACCGCGCGCATGCACGAGGACGCCGCCGGCCCCGTTCCAACCGAACCGGTTGGAACGGGGCGAGAAACCCACCCCTGGACTACCTGTATGTGCTAAGACAATTTATCTTCTCATGCTCATGAAGGTACTATCTTATAACTCATGCATCATCTTTGCGACAAGCACAATAACCAAGGAAGCAGCAGCATGTAATCATCCCAACAAAGTGAAATTTTGGGGGATTATTTATAATTTATATTAACTCTGCTGATGAATCCTTCAAACTATTTATAGCACAATCACATACATTTGTAGTCAGGTTAACCTTCCTTTTTTTCAGAAAGGATTATTTTTATTCCTATGCTGCTCTTCCTCCCAAAGTGAGGAGTGTGGTGGAATGTAATTTAGATTCCCAGGAGGGAGGGGCTGCATTCTAAAGGAGCAAGAAAGAGCGTGGCCCGACAAAGGCGCGCTAGACAAAGGCACGGCGACAAAAGCGTGGCGACAAAACTGCGACGTCAAAAGCGCGCCCACAAAACCGCGGCGACAAAAGTGCGATTAGGGTTAGGGTTATAACGTTTTTGCGTCCCAATATGTTGTTTGTTGATGGCGCGCATTTGTGGGTGCGCTTTTGTGGGCGCGCTTTTGTCGTTGTGGGTTTGTCGCCGCGCATTTGTCTAGCGTGCATTTGTCGGTGAACCAAGAAAGAGCACAGTTTAGATACTTTGATTGGGATGAAAATAGTCAAGAGAGCTTCTTCCTAGAAGTTCTCAATATATATATCTTTAATGATGCAAGTAGTCTGCTTTAATCTGGCAAGATTCCGTCTGTAGGTGAGGAATAATAAAGAAAACTGCTTAGAGGTTTCTCTACATGTTTTTTGGAGCCTGACACATAGGGAGTTCAGAGCAAAATACGTTTAATATGTTTGTGAAACAATGTCAAACATTATATTTGTTCCAAAGTATTTATATTTGAAAGACATTAAAGCCCAGGGAAGGAGAGGAGAGGTAGAGCAACATTCATTTATGCTAGAAAACCAAAACTCCAGTAATACTGGAGGCTACCGAAATGACACTGGTTCTGTATTTAATATTTAATATTAAGTGCTTTGTGAAATGAGATCCCATGCTGTTATCAATCTTCGGTTGCTAAGCTAGAGGAAACATTCCAAGCCCTATTATCATTGTATGAAGTAACATAATGGGTTATTTATTGTTCCCATAGAAAATGTAGATTATTGTTGCGTAAGTGCTGACACGCCACTTGGCTTTAGTACAATACTAGAGACTATATTGCACTGAAAGAATTTTTTCTTTGTACGTTACCTTCTGTCGATACCAGCTATGTAAAAACTGCATTTGGAGTTATTTAACTATGGAACTACTACTTCTACTGAAAAATGAACATTTCCCCTAAACTTCACGTTTGATGTTTGAAGAATGAGCATTGAAAAAAATGGATTTACCCAAATTTTGACGTTTTTATTTTGCTTTGAACTTGTACAGCAACAGATACCGGTTGATATACTTTATGTACCTTAACCAGAAGACTGAATGGATACTCCTCTCATTTCTGTTTGAGAATCATGGAAATTCAGAAAGAGGAGTTTGTTCTGGAAGTTGGTATACCTGTATGCATTTTAATAACATTTTCTAGTAGTTTGTATTATTCACTAGGAAAACAATATTAAGAAAATTTTTGATAGTTACACTGAATATTGGTAAAATGTAGAATGGTTAGGATCCAGAGATGTGCTGTTTAGTATGCCAAAAGAGTTTGAAATTTTCTTGCCTTTTTCATTGATTAGTAGATCTCAGTGCTGTGTTATGTGTTACTTTTAGAAATATCACTTTTAAAAACTCTGCGTTTGAAGAGGAAGTAGATGTGTTCAAAATCTCAGCACCGGTTATTCAATAAATTTTACAAATTACGTCTTATGTTCATTCGGATAAAGTTGATAGCCCACATGTGGTAAAGTCAGACAGGGAAAAACAGCATGAAAGGGTGAATATTTTGATCGTTGTAAATTACCATTATATTGAATTTGTTTACTGTATGTCTACTTTCAGTTGTGTTGCTCTGAATATACAGTAATTACCAGTACAGAGATTCAGGTTCAGAAACGAAATCTATGTAAAAAGTGTTTGGTTTTATAAATTGTGGATAGATTTCTTAAAGTTTATATTAATGAACAGAAAATAGTTATTTGATATCTCCAAAAATGGTAAAATTTGAATCCAGGGTAAACAGCCATTTATCTTGTTAAAATAGATAGGTTGATTATGTTAGAGTCAATACTACATAATACTTGAATAATTAACTTAAATATTTAATTCTTACTGGCTTATGTTTTAGTGTTTTTACTAATCTCCAAATTAAACTAAAATGTTCTGGACATAGGAACATTATACAGAAGGATTCTAACAATATAGATATACAGTGGTGTGTATGTATTTATACATTACCTGAATACACATGGGGGGGAGGACCCCAATGGAGATAACGGCAAAAGTAGTTAAAATATGTTCTGCTTGCCCCAAATTTACGTCTTAGAAGATTTTTTTTCTTAATAATTCCTGTATTTTACCATGTTTTTAATCCTAAAAATAAGCTTGGTATTCCTTTTAGTACTTTATTAATTTAAAATATACACATCCAAACAGATTTCCAGTAGAATGGTGCCTATTCCATTTTTTTTTTTTAGTTTTATTCAGATGAACAGTTTACCTTATAATTCTACCAAGCCCATGCTTTTTCAGATGACATTTAATCTAGACTGTGTCCATGCAAGTTTTTACACACTCTGAAATTGTCCATCTCTAAAAAAAGAGTAAAGAAATGGAAATCCTCTCATCTCCAAAGTATGAGATAATAGTAGATTCTAATTATTCCTGGGTACAGAAACTGTATGACTTTAGTCGCAGATACAATGGAAAACTATATAGTTGTATCCTTCCCTCAACTGATAACAATTTATAATATAGCTCTCCATCTGCTCAATCCAAATACCGATTTTCAAAATGTTACAACTACGACGAGACCTATTTTTTTTAAAATGACATTGAGATATCCATCTATTCAATCGCGAGCGATTGTGGGTGCACCCACGTTACACCTATCCTCCGCGAGCTGCACTGGTTACCGAATGGTCTCCGGATACGCTTCAAGGCGCTAGTCGGCACTTATAAAGCCCTTCATGGTATTGGACCTGGGTACTTGAGAGACCGCCTGCTGCCAATT